TAAGACCTCCCAATATCTTAGCAAAACCCTATAAATATTTCCCTTAAGATAAAAAAGAGAAGGCTAAAAAAAGAAAAAAAGAAGAAAAGATAAGAGAAATATTAATAAAAAACATAAGTGTAGAGGTTCAACAGCCCAAACAAAAGTTTTCTTAAGTTTTGCAAATATGTGAGAGCTAAAAGAGAGTAGTTGTTTTAGGTATACCTTATTGATCCAAAAATAGATTCTTTATAGCCTACTTTTGTTGTTTTTTATTTATATTTACAAGCATATAAAATAAGTTTGAAATGTTTAACATTTGATGTTGCATTCACCTCTTTGTTGCTATGTTTTTTTATTTAATTAATGATGTTTTTTTGAAATCCTTTTATGTTTTTTAATGTATTAAAGTTGTTGTTTAAGTTTTTTTTTCATATTTATATTTAATATTTTTTTTTGTTAATTTAAGCAATGTATGTTAAAATAAGGGTATTTACCCTAAATTTGCTGAGCATGTTTATGCATAAAATGAGTTTAGAAAATCAATTTTGAATCCATATTGGTGTTCTTGATTGTTCTTGGTGCTGTTCATTTTTTTTGGCATTTAATTTGTTTTATTTAAGTTTTTTGTTTTGTTGGGTGTTTAATTTATTTTTTGGCTTTGATTTTGTTTTTATGTTGTTTTTTTGGTAAAACCAAGATTTTTGATGAATAAAAAATTATAGGTCAACTTGGTTGGGTCAAGTAAAAAAAAATTGGAATGAAGGGTTTAATACCCTATTTGGTTTGACATGTTTTTGTTAAAAAGATTTTTTGATTAAAGGTGTATTTGACAAGCAAAACCTAACAATTTAATTTTTTTTATTGCATAGGACCAAAAATTCTAAAATTATTTAAGAATCTTTTTTTAAAGAAAATTTAAAATACTTTGACATGTTTTTTTAAATGTATTACTTGGATTTTTAAATTTTAGAACAAGTTTGTAAAATTCTAAAAGATTTTGGCCTATATTTTAAAAAAATTTAAAAACTATTTTTTAAAAAAATATTATTTACTTTTAATATAAGAATAAAAAAACCTAAAAGGGGTTAATGTTAAGAATATTATTAGGGATAGTAATTTTTTTATTCATTTTAATATAAAGATACAAAAAATTTTATGATGTTAATATTCAAAATATTATTATGAATAATACAACTCCTTCATTTCTAATATAAAAATAAAATACACAAGGTATTTTATTTGAAATAACACGATAGTAAAAATTTCAGTTTTACCTCAAAAAAAACCTCAAGCTCTCAACGATAATTAAGGATATTTCACCTTTCTAAACGGAGTTCTTAGTCTAGAAAATTAAAGTTTGTGCATTGTAGCAAATCCATCATAGTAAGTGATAGAGAAACACATCATCAGACCATAGCAAAATAAAAATAAAAAAATAGTGCAACTTATTTCAGATAAGATGTACTAAGAGTGTTAATACATTTTCTTTACGCAACTAGTTTCTTGCCTAGAATATCTTAAAAAATAAGTTAAGGTTTCTTGTAGCTGTAATACTAGGTG